ATGGATTTAGGAAAGACTGGTCCCAAGTGCAGGAAATAGGTTTTGTTGCTGGAATATTACAGATGTATCTGAGATCACAAGACCCATTTTCCACATTTGAATCAGTACTTACAGATCAATATGAACTTTGTCCTCCAATAGTCACTTGGCAGGACACTCCCAAGATATTTCTATTATTCTGAAAGTTAATAAAAAATTGCAGAACATATGGAATGTTATTTGTTTATTTTGGAATGTTTTTTGAAGATTTTTAAAATTTATAAATGTAGATATTACATTATAGAATGTTCAGAAAATAAGAAAATGAAAAATTTTAAAAAATCAATAAACTTTGGCTAGACTAAGGAAAAAAAAGAGAAGATTCAAACAAACAAAATCAGAAATAAAAGAGACAATTACAACAGAAATACAAATCAACTTCAGAGACTGCTCCAAACAATTACAGTTGACACTTAAACATAAGTTTGAACTGCAAAAGTCCACTTATATGTGGACTTTTTACAGTACTAAGTGTAATTTTCTCTTCCTTATGATTTTCTTAGTAACATTTTATTTTCTCTACCTTATTGTAAGAATACAGCATAATGCATATAACATAAAAATATGTGTTAATTGGCTATTTATGTTATTGGTAAGGCTTCTGGTTAATAGTAGGCTATTAGTAGTAAGGTTTCTGGGGAGCCAAAAGTTATACTCAGATTTTTGACTGCACAGGGGGCTGGTGCACCTAACTCCCATTCAACTGTAGGCACCAACAAATTGGACAAACTAGAAAAAATGGATAATTTCTGAGAAACATACAACCTACCAAAACAGAAACATGACGAACTAGAAAATCTGAACAGACCAATTACTAGTAATGAGATTGAATCAGTAATCAAAAACCTCCCAACAAACAAAAGTCCAGTACCAGTTTTACTGGTGGATTCTGACAAACATTTAAAAAAGAATACAAATTCTTTTCAAACAATTCCAAAAAAATATGACAGAACACTTCCAAATTCATTTTACAAGGCCAACATTTTGACTAAAGCCAGACAAGGATACCACAAGAAAATTACAAGCCAATATCTCTGACAAATATAGATGTAAAAATCCTCAACAAAATATTAGCAAACCAAATTAAACAAAACTTTAATAGGATTATATACCATTATCAAGGGGCATTTATTCCAGGAATGCAAGGATGGTTCAACACCCATAAATCAATCAATGTAATACACCACTTTAACAAAATGGATAAAAATCATGATCATTTCAATAGATGCAGAAAAAAGGATCTGGCAAAATTCAACATCTATTTATGATAAAAAAAACTCTCAGCAAATTGAGTATAAAAAGATACCTCAACATAATAAAGGTCACAAAGGACAAGCTGTGACATCCACAATGGTGAAAGCTTTCCTCTAAGATCAGGAATGAGACAAAGGTGCCTACTCTCACCACTCATATTAATCATAGTACTGGAAGTCCTAGCCAGAGAATTCAGGCAAGGAAAAGAAATAAAAGGCATCCATATTAGAAAGGAAAAAGTCAAATTATCTTTGCAGATGATATGCTTTTATATCTAGAAAGTCTTAAAGACTCCACCAAAAACCTGTCAGAAATAATCAGTGAATTCAGAAAAGTTACAGGTTACAAAAACACAGCTGCATTTCTATATACTAATAACAAGAAAAAGAAATAAAGAAAACAATCCCATTTACATTAGCATCAAAAACAATAAAATATTAGGGATAAATTTAACCAAGATCTGTACATTGAAAACTTTAAGAATTTCATGAAATTAAAGATGACACAGATAAATAGAAAGATATCCTGTGTCCATTGATCAGAAGAATTGATATGGTTAAAATGTCTGTACTCCCCAAAGTCATCTATAGATTCACTGTAAACCCTATCAAAATTCCAATGGCATTTTTTACAGAAATAGAAAAACAATCCTAAAATTCCTATGGAGCTACAAAAGACCCTGAATATCCAAAGCAATCTTAAGAAAGAACATAGCTGGAGGCATTGTACTTCCTGAATTCAAACAATACTATAAAACCTTATAAAGCAAAACAGTGTGGTACTGGCATGAAAAAAGACACATAGTCCAATGGAACATAATCAAAAGCTCAGAAATAAACTCACACATAAATGGTCAACTAGTATTTGACAAGGGAGCAAGGAATACTCAGTGGGGAAAGGATAGTGTCTTTGATAAACTGTGGTGGGAAAACTGAATAACCACATGCAGAAGAATGAAACTGGACCCCTATCTTATACCATACACAAAAATTAACTCAAAAAGGATTAAAGGCTTTCACGTAAGACCTGAAGCCATAAAACTCCCAGGAGGTAACATAGGAAAAAGGTTCTTTGATATTGGTCCTGGAAATGATTTTCTGGATATGACACCCAAAGCACAAGCAAGAAAAGCAAAAAATAAATCAGTGGGACTACATTAATCTAAAAAACTTCTGCAGAGGAAAAGAAACAATCAGTGAAACAAAAAGGCAAACTATGGAATAGAAGACAGTATCTGGAAAGCATATATCTGATAAGGGATTAATATCCAAAATATATAAAGAACTTACACAACCCAATTAAAAAATGGGCCGAGAACCTGAAAAGACATTTTTCCAAAGAAGACATACAGATGGCTAACAGGTATATGAAAAGGTGCTCAGCATCACTAGTCATCAGGGAAATGCAAATCAAAGTCATAATGAGATATCACCTCACATGTGTTAGAATGGCTATCACTAAAAAGACAAGAAATATCAAGTGTTGGCAAGGATGTGGAGAAAAGGAAACCCTTGTGTACTGTTGGTGGGAGTATTGCATGATACAGCCAGTATGGAAAACAGTACGGACATTCCTCAAAAAATTAAAAATAGAATTGCTATATGATCCAGCAATTTATTTTCTGGGTATTTATCCCAAAGAAATGAAAACAGGATCTCAAAGAGATAACTGCTTCCCAATGTTCACTGCAACATTATTCACAATAGGCCATATATGGAAACAACCTAAGTGTTGGTCAGTGGGTAGATGGATAAAGAAGATGTGGTATATATATATATATAATTTTGCAATAAGAAATAAAGAAATGCTGCCATTTGCAACAACTTGGATGAAACTTGAGGATATTATGTGAAATAAGTCAGAAAAAGACAAATACTGTATTCTATCAATTATATAAGGAACTCAAAAAAGCCAAACTCAGAAACGTAGAGTAGAATGGTAGTTACCACAAGCTGGAGGTTGGAGAAAATGGGGAGATATTGATCAAATGGTACAAACTATAGAGATCTAATGTATAGTATGGCCATTATAGTTAACAATATTATATCTTTGAATATTGCTAAGAGAATAAACCTTAAGTAATCTCACCACCAAAAAGAAATGGTAATTATATGAAGTGATGGAGGTTTTTTCTAGGGTTTTGGTGGCAGTCATTTCCCAACATATAAGTGTATCAAATCAACACACTGTATACCTTAAAATTACATAATGTTGTACCTCTAAATTATATCTCAAAAAAATTGTAGTAAAACAAATCGACAGTGACCAAGTAAGTTTCATTCCAGGAATAAAAAAATAATTCCACACAGGAAAATCTATTAATGTAATTCAGAACATTAGTGGATTAAAGGAGGAAATATATAAGATAATAGTATTTGGATTATACTATTTTTAAAAAAATTATTTCTTGATTATTGTCTACTCTCTCTCTGAACAACCCCTTGCTTTCTTCTTCTGGAATTTCTTCTGAGTGGTTGTTATTGTACAAGGTCCTTCTATGACTATGAATTATTATTGTTATGAATTATTTCTTTCTTGGAGATTCAATCTACTTCATATTATTAAATATTTTGATGTTTAGCATCTTTGTTAAATTTTCAACTCTTATACTGAGTAGGGTCTTCTTTCTATACCAAACTATTAGAAAGTGTACATAAAAACCCGTAACTGGAGGTTTTGTATTGGCAGCATGCATACCTGGCACTGATGGCCATTTGAAATCACACCTGTGTCTCTATATAGAGACATAAGTCTAAAACACAGTTCCATATTCACTGACTGACAAGGGTGAACCTACCAAGCAGATAATCTACTATGCCAGTTTCCAGGGCCCCCAAGTTGTTACTGAGAAACAATAAACAACATTTGCATGACTTAATGAGCTAAAAAAGATTCAGATAAAGTTGAAGACTCCATTTATTTTAATCCCTGCCCAATCCCATTTTTCACTTCTTTCCCAGAAGCAACTACTATTATGAATTCTAGACCATGCTTTTTCTATACTTTTGTCATACACATCCATCTACAGCAACCAGGGCTCCAAACCACCCATCTTACCCCATCCCACATAATCACATTATTTATAAGGGGAAGCAGAAGTTTCCTAATGACAATATGCATGTCCTGCAAAGGGGTCCAAAGGCAATCACTCCCGTATCTTGGGGAAGCCAGCCTAATATTCAGTTTCTCTTATCACTGTTGCCCATGATGAGCTTGTCAAAGAGGTATCCTGCCATGGCTTCTGGAGTCCCTTTCTTGCTATCTAGAATTAACAAACATTAGTATTTACATATTTTAACAAACTAAAAGTTTTCAGGTAAAGCTGAAGACCTCCTTCACTTTAATCCCTGCCCAAACCCATTTCTATCACTCTTTCCCCAGATCAACCCCAATCATAATTTTCAGGCCATATTTTTATATTTTTACTATGCACAGGCTCCCACATTCATCAGGGCCCTAGACCACCCACCCCACACTGTTTATAAGGGTAAGATTCATTTTGTGTTTTCTACAGTCCCATGAAATATCTTCTCCCTCCATCTTCAGAGGTCCTGAGCTGCATGTAGATAGGGTTGGGTGGGTGGAGAGATTCCTGAATACCTGTTTTAAAACTTAAAAGGTGAGAGATTTGCATACAAATCAACCAGAGACCTTTATTTAAGAACCAAATAACTTTATTGAAACCAAATTAACTTTATTTATGGCAGAACTGGAAGAAAAAAACTGGAACGTTTTGCAAAGGCAATGCTGCAATATGCATGCTCGGCATGGTGATCAGGGAAAGTCACCATGCACCCTGGGCTATAGGGGAAACAGTCCCAACTCAGTTCTTTTTGTCGCTGTCGCCCAGGGTGAGCTTGTCAAAGAGGTACTCTGCCATGCCGGCATCCGGGGCCCCCATCTTGCACAGGCTGTTGACATAGCCCCCCAGCTCTTTGATGGACTTGACTTGCTCGTGCAGGTAGTGGCTCTCCAGGAAGTCGCACAGGTGGGCGTCGTTCTTGTCGGTGGCCAGCTGGTGCAGGTCGAGCAGGCACTGGTTCACGCTCTTCTCCAGGTGCAGGGCGCACTCCATGGCCTTCAGGCCGCTCTCCCAGTCGTCGCGGTCTGGC